GAGGAGAGAATGTATGAGCCGGAATGATGGCTGTATGTTTGTCTGCTTTATATATAGGTTGCAGCACACGAGGAGAAACAACTCCTGTTGCTGCTGCTGGTGTTGCTGCTGCTGCTGCTGCTGCTGCTGCTGCTGCTGCTGCTGCTGCTGCTCCTGGCGAACATGATGATGGGTCATCCGTTACTACTACTGCAGCAGGAGCTGCGGATATACTACCGGCACCTGCTGCTGCTGCTGCTGCTGCTGCTGCTGCTGCTGCTGCAGCAGCAGAAGGGGGAGGAGACGGCAGAGGAGGAGACACCTGCTGCACACAAGTGGTGTGTAAGACAGGCGTTCTTCTGCTGCTCTCTCCTGCTGCTGCTGCTGCTGCTGCTGCTGCTGCTGCTGCTGCTGCTGGGTCGGGGACAGAAGAAACAACTGCAGCACGAGCAGCAGAGTTTATTTCCCTCATTTCTGCGTCGAGCTGCAAGGAGACAGGTGGGAGAGACATCGTCGGCTGTCTCCGCAGCAGCAGCTGCTGCTGCGGTTGCTGCTGCAGCTGCTGCTGCTGCTGCAGCAGCAGCTGCTGCTGCTGCGGATGCGGCGTCTCCTCAACAGCAACAGCCCCAAACGGGCATATACCGGTAACAGCAGGGCATGCAACATCTGCATGCATCATACCATCACCACCTGCTGCTGCTGCTGCTGCTGCTGCTGCTGCTGCTGCTGCTGCTGCTGCGTCTGGTGCTGCTGCTGCACTCACTACACCCAGGGGCGGGGGCTGCTGCAGCAGCAGCGGATCGCTCGTCAGCACGGGGCCCTCACACACTGCTTCTGTTGTCACCTGCACCTGCAGCAGCACCAGCAGCAGCAGCAGCACCAGCAGCAGCAGCAGCAGCAGCAGCAGGAGCCGGAACAGCAGCAGGAGACGGATGATAGGTGAATATAAAAAGGAAAAAACGGCAGCAACAACAGCAGCAGCAACACCATCAGCACCACAACCACCACCACCACCACCACCAGCACCAGCACCAGCAGCAGCATCAGCAGCAGCAGCAGCAGCAGCACCACCACCACCACCAGCAGCATCAGCAGCACCAGCATCAGCAGCAGCAGCAGCAGCACCACCACCACCACCACCAGCAGCATCAGCAGCAGCAGCAGCACCACCACCACCACCACCAGCACCAGCACC